CAATGTGATACAACCACATGACACAAATGGAATATTACATTTATTTTTTATAAGTACTCATCATTAATTGTATAAGTATACATTGTTTTTTTTTTATTATAGATTACTTACCATTAATTTTACCGAGACATAGACCGACAACTAGGGTCGTCAGCAGCAGGTGTAATCCCTTTTTGGGTCGCATTCTGTATGATCCACAATAATTCAATTTAAGATAGATTCAGACGGGGGTTCCTAACTTGATCGCGGCATTATTAGCCGCAACTTGGTGGCTTTTGGGTTTCGAAACTATTGCGTGCCGTTTAACTGGAATCAGAATTCGTGGTTAGTCGCGCTGGTTTATCCGACATGATCTAATTAGTTCATTGGCTAACAAAATGACATGAAATATGCGACCTCAATAGGGAGCATTTCCCCGCGCGAGAGAAGTGTGGCGGGTGGAAAATGGAAAATCACATGAATAGTTAAATATATTTCTGCTTTTCTGCCGCCATAATGTGCACAATGCGTAACGTGAATTTGGATCATTAAACGAAAATCTAGCCAAGCTACGTGTCGCTCGACTCATATCGATCCGCAACTCCGGATGTCACTTCCGGCTTATTGTCCACTCAACTCTTTATGCTCTCCGCACAGCCGCAGCACAAAAGCGAAGTGAGTTTTCGGAAAACGTTAGCTATTGACCTCAAGTGGTGGCTGTACTTGGAAAGTGTCGCTTTAAAATTTTGAAAGCTAGTATTGTGAAATTCGCTATGACAAGAAAAAGTTGTTAAGGGAAGATATCATAATGATCAAGGTAGGTTTTGGAATTTAACACTTAAGGGATCCTAATATATTAAATAAAATCATACTATTTATTTATAGTCCTTATAAAATAATTAATAAGATTGCGATCCTTTAAAAATAATTCAAAGATCCTACTCTTAGGATTACACTGATTAAAAACACGATTGTTAGAAGGGTCTTTAGATAAATGTCCTTGGATATCCTTGATTCAGTTTACTCGTTTTACCACTAACTATATAGATCCTTAGAAAAATATTTGTTTATATTGCACATTGGTCTATACTAAATGTCCTGGAGAATACATTAATATCCTTTAAAGCAACCAGTTAGTTCTTATAAGATCTTTACAGTTGAACCATTAAATCTCTTTATAACGATAGTCCGGATTTCAAGGGCACAGTTTACCACCACTTAATTAATTTGAATACCGTTTATAGCCACAAGGATATCCTCTTAATAAAAATTAAAGCTGAAGCGATTATGTGAACAAATGGTTTATTGGGGACCGAACCCGACCGATCGTTAGAATATGGCGCGACAAACTGAATTCGAGAACCTTACTTCTCTGCTGGTCTGCAGTCGGATCGGTGGTTGGACCATTACGATTACCATTACCATCGCGATTGCCAATGCGATTACCATTAGCGGGGGCAGCGGCACCGACTCCATGGCAACAATGGTCGAAAAGGGGAATTAATTAGATGTGGAGACAGCAACAAAGAACCATGGACACAATGTTCTAAATGCTCTCCTACGTGGATTGCCATTCAAATGTTAATCAGTGCGGCGAGCAGACCGAAGTTGACAAAAGCCCACCCCCCTTTGAAAAACCAACCAACCACCCACTCCACCCTCCAAATTGGGGAGTCGCCGGCACACAGAAAACAGTTTTATGGATCTGGTTCTATATAAAAGAAGATACATGATCTGTTATCTAAATATTTTCCAAACATTCAAAGTTATAGATTTTTTGATCTTTGTGTTCATGTAAATTAGAAAATAATCTTCCCTCCTGCTTCTTAAACTTAAGGTAGGTTTTAAACCAAAAAGCCTAAGAACATTTAATTCTAAAACATATTCTTTAACAGTTTAACAAGCTGACAAGAGAGCGGTTCCTAACGTCGAAATCTCAATGCCATGTTAACCGTTATCATCCATTATCAAAACTTAGTTTCTCAACATCAGGTTATATTATGCTAATTTCTGTTACAGATAACTACTAGAACCTTAACATGTCATTGAGAAGTTGGCCATTAGTGATCTAGTTCCATAGGATCTAAAATAGTTTTTAACTGAAGATTTGATAAAAATGAATTCAGAGAAGCAAGTTCCTAATTTGAATAATAATGTTTAGGAATTTCTGAGAAATGAAAGTCGGATTATCATTGCAGCAGTTGAAAAGATTATAATATGCCATTTTTGGAATTTAAACTCAATAGCAGATTAATTTTTTCTCGGTGTATTAGTACACGCACCCGGGAATTGGGTGTGTTGTTGGAGTTGTGAGAGTGGTGGAGCTTTTCGTTCTGGCCGAATGTGCACATGGCACATAATGACATTTTGGCCGGTCAACGTTTCATGGACATGGGCGACTTTCCCACTTGTGAAGGGCATGGAGCAGCATCTGGTGGCCCAAGTCCACAACTCCGAATGCTAAATACCAAATACTAAACGATCGCCGCTCTTCATTGTCCGGCGTTGGGTCAGATCATGACAATGCGTGTCACGTCTGAATAAGTTCGAGGCTGGCTCCAGAGGCACTGCATCGTGGGGCTCCTCCTCTGCACTTTGCAGCTGGGTTGCACCTGTCGCCGCTGGGTGTGCGTGGGCCGCCCCCATTGTTAAAACCGAGTGTCACTGGGCGCGGCGACAACCTAAACGAGCCATGCAAATGCAAATGCCCACCAATAGGTCCAACTTTTATTTTCACAATCTACAAACTACCCACTACATCGATTCCTGCATCAGGGCCAGCAAGCGATAGCAATTCTTCAGCACCTAAAAGTTTGGGGATAACACGATGAAGTAGCACATTTTCTAGATACTTCCATATACTTACAAGCATATAGGTGCCCAGGGTAAAGGGCAAAAACGGTTCAGCCACATACATCAGGGGCTTCTGGGCTCGTAAGATCACAAAGGAAATATCCCTCTGGATGGCTGGGGCCTTGGTGTGCCAGTCGGTTATATCAAAAGCAGCCTGAGCAACCTCCAAAGACTGTTAAAAAATGCAAAAGTGAGAAAAGCAATTAAGAACTGATAGCTAAGAACTATAAATATATCAATATGGGTATGAAATGCTATTGTAGTTTAGAATTTAGTATTTGAAAACTAGTTTTAGTTTGACTGTATCATACCTGGGTATAAACCAAAGTTCCCGAGATGCACCATAGCGACAATTGAGTAAACGCCACCACCATGAGGAGCACAAATTTGGCTGCCATTTTGGGATCGACAGCAGCTGCAACCATGGTCTCAAAGGTGGATATGGAAATCAAAGCAAAACTGGCCATCAACTGCGCATTGAAGGCTCCATTGAAAGCTCTATTTGCTTTCTCTACCACCCTGCCAAATATAGTCTTAAAATTGGTTGGTTGAAGGTCATACAAAACTCACTTGATGATGTGCTGGTGGAAGCGTACCACCCGACAAAGCTCCTCACGGAACCGGGCATCGCTGACCCTCATTTTACCCAGTTTCCTCAACTCGATGCACAGAAGCTTGAGGTTGAGAGCCGTCTGCATGAACGTGGAAATGCCGCACATGTCCACCATTAAGATACTCATTAGGTTGTGCTGCGAGGTTAAACTCAGCCAAAAGTAGAGGGACCAAAACATACGGGGATGCAGATCCAGGCGATGCCATTGAAATGGCCAAATTGAGTGAAAGGGAAGCTTTCCTTCGATTATCAAAGGTTGCAAGAAAACCGCAGCGCTAAAGAAGTTGACCAGACAAAAACAGTTGATATAAAGACCTGATTCTACCAGGTAACACAGCCTCTGCCAACCCAACACCTCCTCATCATTATGATTAGGTCTTAGCTCCCGATTATAGTAGTCAAAATCCCAAATAAGTTCATCGATTTTGTCGCAGCGTAAGTGCATGTAGAATATCTTCATAAAAATTAGACCCATCTATCAGAAACAGAGAACCATTAGTTTCTTTAATCTATAAGTGGGAGAACCACAGTAGCTTACTCCCGAAATCCACACCAAGTCGTCGCCCATTTCGATCACATTCTTAGACTCGGGCAGGGCCAAGACCATGGTCACGAAAGCGTTCATCACATTGCACATTATGAAATAGTTCAGCCATCGGTACAGAGACAAACTAGCCAACTTCTTGTTGGGATACTGGCACAGCAAGCTGTGGGTATGGCAAAAAGCGGATTATAAAGATTACAAATTGAGTGATGGATGATGCAACACTCACCTCAAGCAGGCGCGAACATAGTTAAAAGCCAGGCGTGGGATGGGACCAGGAGTTTCCTGTCTCAGAACCGAACGGAACTCATCAAAGAATTTCCGCATAAGGCTTAGATTTGATTGATAACCCGAGTCTGCCATTGCGAAAAGTTTAAACTGTGCTCCAGGCTGGCGGTCAGCTCCTTTTATACAAGAAGACCTCGAGGGTCTAATTACAATGTTTATAAGCAATTGTTTTGCGAGAAACGCCCACGACGTTGATTTCCCTGAATGATTGCATTGAGAACATGTGCTGCAAATCGCACTACTTCGATCGATTTCGACTGACACATCACGATGATGATGATGGACCTTTCGGTCACTCTCTACATCGTTCAATGAACCCAACTTTAACTTCGCGTGACTCGGGTGCCTCTATTAGATCATCAGCATCATTAAGAACAATGAATAATATAATATAACGCATAAATGGTGAATTCAGCCGGGCTTCTGTTTATTCGCAATTTTTGAAGCGTATAGCAAAATATGATCATCGCAAAGTGCTCCTCACTCCACCCAACGAACCAAATAGTTGCGATGAGTTAGGTTCAATCAACCTGGCTCATAAACTTCCTGTGGCCTACCACTTCAATGGACCACATCTGCATAAGTAAGTTATGTTCGATGAGTTATGTCTTAATCAGGATCCCCGGAGGCCCCGCAAAGACATCCATAGATAACCAGAAACGGACATTGTAAAAGTCCAGTTCGCTATTCAAATTTCGCCAGCACACTTTCCGTCTTAATCCCGTGGGTTGGATGGTTCGGTACTGGTTCTGGTGTCTATGATGGCCAACTGGACATCCGCTTCCATGCTAACATGCTAATGCCACTGTCTAATGGCTGGACATGGACATTTAGCAAGGCCATTGGAATCAATCTGGGATTAGAGGAGTCCCGACCAGGGAGTCAATAGCCCCACAGTGGTTGGCCTGGCGCGCGTCGCCTGTAATGCTCGTAATAAAGTGTGTTTTATTATAACCCACGGACTAACCATATAATGGTACCATAATGGGCCGGCCATTAAAACAAATTGATATCAATTTTGCAACAATATGTGCACAAGTTGCGTCGATGACTCCGCGCCTCGCCAATGAACTCCCATGCTATGCCGTACAATACCATCCTATCCCAATCAATCCCATCCCGTACTATCCCATCCCATGCCATCCAATTCCCGCCAGAAGCGTTTGCAGCCACATGCACCACCTCATCCACAGTTGAATAGTTGAATTGTGGATGGGGTTAGTCGATAGTGGATTGTGGATAGTGGTGCTGCAGCAGTAACAGTATAGACCAGTTCCGAGTTGGCAAAGCGCCGTTTGATGCTCTAATTTATACAGCATACTGATGAGTTGACCGCTGTTCTGGAATTGTTCTCCTACGGGTTTGGGTTCGGTTCGGTTTCGGATTGCTTTGCTTTGGTCACGAAAAGCTGCAGATCAGACAGAGCACACCTGACCAGACACACAAACACACACGATATCAGTAACTCACCCAGAAATGGAAATATTCGTAGCGGTTAGCGTTTAATTGAAATGCATTTGGCTTGTTGCCTGTCAATCAGCCGTTGCGATAGATGGATAGGCCCCGGAACTCATCTTTCTCCTCCCCCTCCCAGAGCCGAAGGGTAATGGAGCTATTGGATCTTGGCCAGGATGCACACGCAACCCCATGGCGCTGTCATACGCCACTTTGCCAGGCCATCAAAACCACATCCGAACCATATCTAAGCACACGCAATGGGGATTCTTGGTAATGACTTTGCCTCCTGCTAGGATTTTAATTATACAGTCTGAGCAACGAAAGTAATAATAATTATCAGTGTTTGGCTGAATCACCTGCGATTGACACCTGATTTTATGTATCAATAAAAGACTTCGGGCGTTGGAGAAACATCTGTATTATCTCAAAATGAAATAAAAAGCTTAGCCTGCAGATAGACTTCTTAGTTACACATCTAAACTTGTCTGGTCATCTATTTCTATTACAGACATAAAACTTAATGAGCAATTAAAAGAGACATCCCGTAAACGGTAGTTACATATATAGATAATGGTTTGGCACCTGATTTTAAGTATCAATTAAGGAGTACGAGAAGTATGAAGACTACCATTCTGTAATGAATAATAAAAATGCATGATGCGTGTTTAGTTAATGTCCGTGCAAGAAAAAAAATTGCTTGTCATACTAGTTATAGGAAGAAGTTTACAAAGGGGATCCTCATAAGATGTTATTAACGAAGAGAAAATCAGAATCATATAGAACTTCATATTTAAGATTAGAAAAAGTTAAACAATGTGTAAAATGTATTATCATTGGGTGATTACCATAACACTAAGCAATACTTAATCCTCTTTCGACCCAATTTCTCCCAATACAAACTACCGTCTAAAAAGGTCAAAAGATATTCCAGCTCCAATAATTACCAACCCTGGAGCGGGACGGACACTCGCATCCTCTATAAACCGTTATGGACTCGCGATTCGATGTGGACCAAGTTCAATGAGCGCATTTTCATGTTTATTGCAGAAGCAATTGGTAATAAGTGCGCGACCGCAGACGTGGAAAAAAAGAACACATTTCTCAATCGTTATTTATGAATACAATTGCAAGTTTGTTTAGCGAAGCCGGAGGCACCGCACACTCCACTCCGCCACCAGCGTATCAATAACAAGCCAAGATGAGAAGGAAACCTGGGGGAAAAGAGCAGGGAAGTGGAGGACACTAGGGGAGCACTACAATCCTGGTCCACAGAGACAAAATTTATATTATTACTATTTTTATTGTCAGCCTACTCTATAGAGCTGATCTTATCAGTCTTATCTGCAAGAATACTTTAATCGATTGAAATAATCGTTGAATCTCATAAATCTTAAGAGGTTGTTAGGTATGCTGAGAAAATAAATACTGATATTAATATAGAAAATATTATTACAACCGACTAGCTGTAACCCAAATGCTTTTGAACCTTGCTTTCGGACTATAGGAACAACACATCAATTTTTAGTAGTATAAGTAACTGCATTCTTCGAAAACAGTTTGTTTATTTTGATTAGGATAGGATCTTGAAAATGCAGATTGGAAAATATTATAAAAGCTACGTACATTTTGGTATTATATCAAAATCATAATTATTCATATTTTTTAAAGACTTTAATATTTTAAATTTTTTGCTGCAGTTAAGATCCTCTTTAATTCATTTCATGATGATATTTTTTCTCTGTATGCTCTTCCCAGACATGAACTGGTTTCCCAGTTTTCCAGCATCAGCAGATCAGACGACTCACCGCTGCCGCCGGGCATCCAGCGACGTGTGCCCAAAGTTTGCATAAGTTGGACATGGACATGGACGAGGACTTGGATGTGGCTGTGGATCTGGAATTGAACCGGGACCTGGACCTGGACCTGGACCTGGTACTGAAGCTGGCTTCTTTTACAGTTAAAGATTTATAGATCATGCATGGGTAAATGGCGAACAGATACGCGGGCAATTGTGTGTAGGTAACGCAATCCTGAATCGACCACAAATTTATTCCAGTCCGGTAGATGATAAGAGCCCAAAGGAGCAGCAGCCCCAGTGACCAAGAGATCCAAATCTACGGCTGACACAGAAATACAAATTCGAGCATTGAGCATCATAAAATGCAGATAGACGTAGTCATAAATGTATATATATGTATAAACCGATCGAAGTTCCATTTTCGAGAACTGTATGTGGCCGATAATGTGGAGTAGTAGCTGCAAGAAGGCGGGACGCTGGATATCATTAGATGGAGATCTATGAAACTTAAAACTTTCTAAATGACGGGCGGCAACTTTAGCGGCAAAAAACCAAAACTGTAAATGCAGCCAAAGCAAATAGTTGCAGCCGCGTCGCCAACTAAAGTATAATTATTGGCCAGACGAGATGGGAATAAAGACGAAGACCGTAGACTGTAGACTGCAGAGTGAAGACTGCATACTGCATAGTGCATACTGAAGACTGCAGCTTTGCAGTCTCCAACTGGGAAACTGCACGTACGCAGCGCCGGCAAAAGGAGATGCCAATATTTCTATATATATTTCTATATGTTTTTTGTCTTTTTGTGTGCCACTGCTTAACTGTTTTTAATTGAAACCAGTTTGTGGTAATTGTCTTTTTGGCTTGTTGGCCCGACCGCCTTACTATATATGTTATAACTCGCTTATGTCAAACAGATTGGCTGTGTAATTCGAGGCAGCCCCATAACTCCACTTGCGGTGGAACTTTTCGAAAGTTTTCACTTGTTCTCCAGCACGGATCTACGGATCTTAGGATCGTGAATCTTTAGATCCGCAGATACCCAAGCAGCTGCACTCGAGCGCAACTAAAGCGAGTAAATTGTCATAAATTGAGTTGAACCAATGACAAATGACGCCTTTTTTCTTGGTCCAAAGCTTTTATCAAACTGGAGCGTGAATCTTCGAACGGTACTGGGGATTCCTGTCATTTCTACCGCCGACCACACGGCGTATGTGCGACGCAGAACCTGTCCCAGTCTTTGTTAATTAGTCTGCAGTTAGAGATCTTCGCCTTCACACATCACAACACACTGTTATAGCCAGCAGTTGGTCGTACGGTTGTACAATTTGTCAAAACACACACGGCCCGAACTTATACTTTCGAGATATAAGAGCGTGGAGTAGAAAAAGAAAACTCGTTTAAGAGCGTACCGCCTCTCTCCAGATCTTTTCCTCAGGCTTCAGCTTTAACTTTGGCTTTGGTTTCTTTGAGCTGCGATTGCTTTGGCAGTCGCTCCACCGACGGCGACCTTGATAGACGTCTTAGCGGTTCGAAAACTAAAAGGAAAATCCCCCCAAAGCCCCAAACCCCAAAATACAGATAACCCAGTCGCGAAGAAAAGCCGCCGCAGTCTTCGCTTTCTTTGCGGCCAAAACAACAGAGGCAAACAAAAGAAACCGAAACAAAGTGAATTTTCTAAAAACAGTAACAGTTAACGCGACTCTGGTTGTTTTTGTGTAGTTTTGTGTGTGGCACGAGATGAAGATGTTTCAAAAATGCTGAAAAACGTGCAAGAAATGCTGCCGTAGAAATGTGTGAAAATGCCAGCAGATGCAAAGTGAAGTTAACCAAGTTAAAGTCAAAAAAGAAACCGCTTAAGTTTATGTGCGAAAAGCGATCCTGTGTGTATCTTGTCAGGAAAATTAACGGCCAAAGGTGTTAATTTATTCACCAACTGAAATCGGGCTCTGCTGTGAGTAAAGAAATAAAAAAAAACCCAAATCTAGATTTTGTTGGCCCGGGAAAAGGGCTTTTTTCGCCCTTGGCTTGGGTTAATCAGACCATTGCCAATTGAGTTTAGGTCACTGGGCATGGGCATGGGCACTCTCCCAAATTGAAAACCTTTTTTTGTTTTTCTTTTGGGAGAAAGTAATTTTCTGGAAAGAAGAAAAAAAAAACAAAACCGTATCCAAAACACCGGCCATTGCACTGCCGTAATTCGGTTTTAACAACTGGCCGAAACCGTTGGCCAGCCAACTAACTTGGCCCTAAGTTGGCGGGCCTAAGTACATATTAAAGCACATTAAGGAGCCGAGCAAATGATGCGCTCCTCTGGCCACACAATGGACTGGACCCGGGAGCCGCTAACACAAAATAATAAAAATAACAGCGGAATAAATTTGAAATTTGTTATTATGCTGGGATATGGGATGGCTATGGCTATGGCTATGGGATGATGCTCCAGAGTTCCCTGCTTTTCTGTTAGTGGCGTGTTCTAAGTGTTAAAAGTACGCCGAGTGTGACGTCGGCTGCACTCGGAAGTGTAGCTGCTGCTCCGGCCAGACAATGGGGCCCATCATCTATTTGGTGCCCGGAGATGCAGCCAACTCCAATCCCCAACTCCACGGTGCATGTTCATGTGAATTGCAATGGCCAGGTTAGAATGCGTTGTGGTAATTTCAATACCCCTCGCTGGGCATTCAGCCTTGTGGGGCATGCTCAACTAGATAGAACTAAAAATATTGTTATTTTTAGTAAGCAAATTCGAAGTCTACAAAGCAAATGAAATGATAATGATCGTTTGCACAAATCGAAAGTTATTTTTATACCACATTAGAAAGCATTCAAACAGAGAAAGAAGTTTAAGAGTTTCGATGCCTTCTTAATGAGCCTTTTTAAAAGGCTATATTTAACTTAACTGCTGTTAAAGCAAATACAATTTGGCAAATTTAAAAATCATTAGTTGGCTGATTATAATACATTGTAGGTTTAATTTTTGAGAAATTAGTTTTATAGCAGAAAGACTTATTTATTTAAATCTACTTTATTCAAAATGGTTTGGTTTTCTTGTATATATTAATATGTACTACTACCTTTGGGCACCACCTTTTCCGTGGGGGTACATCCTAATCCGATTTAATTCAATATTTTCAACAGATAGATCTTAAATCTCATAGTAAACTTTTCAAATGTAACTTGAAATTGTTCTTAATATTTCTTCAATCACTACAACAAATCGTATCTTAAATCTTAGTTTTATGTACTTTGCACTTTGAGGTGAATCTTATTCACATTAATCAGTGGCCAGCTCAATTCGAATCCATTAGTTGGCAAATCACCGAATACATTTTTCAAAGACCAATCCCAATGGGTTCTTTTAACAAACCCATTTCCGATGGCCAGTTATTGGATCTGTTGTACTTAACGCTTCGTTGGGCAAGCCCAGAATTCTATGGGGTATTTCCTGGGTCGATCAGGCTGATTCCTGTAGCACTGCCACTTGTTTATTATGGTTAAATTTATGCACAGACTTAGAACAATGCGCACACGCTCTTTCGTGTTGCCCAATAATTAATGATCGCGTACATGGCGGCGGATGATGGGCTGCAATGGGCTGAAATGAGATGGAATAGATGGAATATGGCTAATTTATGCAGTTGGGTTCAATTACCTGTTAATTGAGTTTAGTCGAGTGCGCAAGAGTCAAGACCCGGCATAGGTGCCCCATGGAGATACAAACTACAGACTACATTTTACTATGTGCTACGGAAATGCAAGACCACATAAATATAACAGTCCCGAGAACCAGCAAGAGTTTTCCACTTCTTTTTTGTCTTTTTCCCAGCATCATCAAAATCGCATCAGTTTCAGTTGCTACGAGTATCATTGCTCTGTGAGTTTTTGCTGATATTGCAGTTGGAAAACCGAAAAGCAGGTCATTACTGCCATTAAATTCGTTTCGAAAATGCAGACAAACCAAAAACCGAAACTAGACAACCCAAAATCAAGCCAAAACCGAATAACTAAGGCAAAGTCGTAAACAAATCGAAAAGAAAGAGAAATAATAGAAATGATATTGTTGTTATTTTTAAATGCCATAACTGTACAGCAAGTCGAGTGATAGATGGAGATGGTGTTGGCTAAGCTGGTAGATACCGATGTAGATGGATGGCGATTATGATGGTAGAGCTGGTGACTGGTCAATCAAAAGACTTAGGCACCGAACCTTAGTGTGTCTTTTGTAGTTTTTGTTGTTTTCTTGGCTGAGTTCTACTGAGCTTTGTAAAGAAATTTTACTTTCAAATTAGGCCGCAACTGTTGCTTTTTATCGCTTTCTTCTCTCATTCATTCGCGCGCACATTATGGCTCTAGATAATATACCTTTACCACAACCTCTACCCCTCTACGCACCCGTCTCTTTTGTTCTTCTTTTGAAGAGCCAAAAAAACCAGGCACACACTTCTGAGATCAGTAGAACTCGTAGAGATATGAACAGTTAGGAGTCCCCAATAAGTTCTCTGTGCTGCCTTGGCGCTGTGTGTGTGAAATATTTATGTAAATTGGCCTGGCCGAAAGCAGCTGCTAAAGTGCAACTGATTAGCGGTATAAACGGGGTGTTCTAAGCCAAGTGCAGCAGCGGGCTTTTGGTAACGGTAAACGCAGCATAGGCGGCTAAAGCAGACGAATACAGTTTTCCCACTGCGACGCACTTGAACCAAGGCAGCATTATGCCAGCTCTCCACCTTGTCCCAGCCAATAAGTATACACTTGCCGCCAGAACGAGTTTTAATTGCAACATTTGTTTAAATGTTGTCCGTTAGCCACCGGCGAACTAGCACCACCAACTGGATGTAGATGTAGAAGTTGCTCCATTTCCAGCAAAACGGACTAAACAATTTCTGCCTCATTAACTGGGGGCCCCAAAGAATGTCAACTGGCTAGCTGGTTTCGTTTCGCTAGCTACGAATTTGGACTTATTTTTAATTAATTAGTGGTTTGTTTTTCTTTTCTTTTTCTTTTTTTTTTTGCCCCTCTCCCCAACCAGTTGCAGCTGCACCGTAGAATCCCCCAGAGTGCGTTCCATCCAGCTATGTTGCTGTTAAGATGCGGCTCCAATCCTTACCGCTGCTCCTTCTGCTCACTTTCGTCACCCTCCCGCCTGCCACGCCCACCTCGGCACCCCGACCGCCCCCACATCCGAGGGTGAGGAACCACTATGCCAACGAAGATCTCGGCGAGGGTCCACCGATGCCGGCCAGCCTGCTGCTGGAGGAACTGCAGCAGACCAACGGGCAGCTCATCAATCTGACACGACAGCACGACGGCGATACCTTCCACACGAGCGGTGAGTTATACACTTGGAATCAGGTGTAATACCATACTACAAATGGGGATTGTATTTAATGATTCCTTAACTGATTATTCATTGGAAATTCCCATTAAAGTCAACCAGAAAATCAATGTCAGTGGGTGTAAATGGCTTGTGCTTAAGATCTATTTCAGACTAATTTTATTGGGCAATAAATGTTAAATCGTTTAATGGGTTCGGTTTATTCTTAACCGTTAAGTGAAAGCACATTAAATGCGATGCGCACATATTAACATATTCATGGTTTATCTCGTTCGTTCTAGAAAAACAAACTGCCTTGTAGATGATGAATATGTAGTTTAATGATTATGTGATAACATCTCTTAAGATGGACCAACAAGAATTAATTTTTCCAAATTGGCATCCCACACTAATAGGATGTTTACTATATATTTATTTTGTATTATGTTTTATTGTAACATTCTGTTAAAAGATTCTTGATAAATCAGTCAGTTCATTTAGAATATATTTGATATAGCTTCGAATTAACTTACTTTTAAATAGTTTATGCTTTTTTAAAGGTCGAAAAAACGGCTCTTAAACATATTGGTTTGTTAAAGAACCTGTAATATAATGCCGAAATAGCACTTTTAAAATGATATTTCATGGCATAAACTTTGTTATTTTTTCAAGTATATCTAAGTGGTGGTGCAAGCATTTTATAATCTTTCTTACTCACCAGATAGCTATACGCATATGAATAAAGTACCAAAGACTTGCTTATTTTTTCAAATGCATGGCCAGTGTCACTGCCATCGAATAGTTGCCTTGGCAGGTGGCATCTTCGGCTGGATGATCCGTTGGTTTTTTTCGTGGCTCATCCGCTGACAGCAGCATTAATTTTGCCAGTAAGGCCTGGTCCGGTCCGGTGGGGTCTGATTAGCCGTCAATCGGCTGGATATGTTGTGAAGTCCCGACTCAATCCATCTTAATGTTTTCTCTGCGCAGGTCTAAGCAGTGCCTGCAATGCGGACACCTGCATCGGACTCTCGAGCGGCACAGCATCGCTGGTGCGTCTGACCGGCGATGGAAGCGGTCAAGGCAACGGTAAGCATTGGATCACCATGGTAATGGGTGCCTGTCATAATCCAAGAAAATCCACCAATCCACAGACGGACTCAATCCGGCGACCTCGTCTCTGGCTGGCGGTCAAATGGAGCTACTGACCCGCCGCCTCAAGATGCAAAGGGGTCGTGGCCAAATGGAGAACCTAGATGGGAGTGGTGAAGCCGGATGCACCTGTCGATGTCTTCCCTATCAAAGGGCCTATCGCGAGGATCTGGGCATCTGCGTGGACGACATTCATGGTGAGTGTGTGTGTGTGTGCATTGCGGAAGCCTTCCACCAATTCCAAGCCAAATTGTGTGCTCCATTTCGCGGTGGGAGTCGCTCCCACATGTGAAACACCATCCATATCCATCCATTGTTTTGTCATATCCGAGCACAATGGTTGCCCAACTGAAGAAAAAAAAGAAGAAAAAAATTGAAAAGTCCCAACCGAACGAAAGAAATGCTGTAATAACAGCCACTGAAATTGTGCAGGGCTGCAGAATGAAAACGAAACGTGACGCAAAGAGGGAAAAAATGTTATTATTATTGAACAAATCGCTTGTTTCCCCGCTGCTAATGAATGAAAGGAAACTTTCGCCCGTCTTTCGTCGTCTGCCAACATAAACAATCTCATACTGCTGCCATTTCGGGGTCTAACTCAGGCCTGGAATCCGACTCGAAGATCGGAATTGGAATTGGCATTGGAATCGGACTCACCAAGTCGGACCAAGAAAGTAAGAGCCGGGCTGGCCGGAAAAACAACAGCGCAAATATGTAGTTTCACTACCGATTCCGACACGTAATTGATAAGCGCCGATCGTTATCGCAGACATTTTGAGCGTACTTTCCCACAACCTCAGACACCTCAAACACCTAATCGTTTCCCATTTCTCCACCCATTGTTACAGAGTGCTCCCTGTCGCCCTTCGTGAGTGGTTCCTCCTCGGAAAAGATCCCCTTTGTCTTCCTGCCGCTCAAGGGTCAGATCATCTATCCCAGCAGGGAGATCAGCTTTGCCAGTAAGTAATTTGTTTCATATTTGGATCATATCTACCACTTTTAGTTGGGAATATCGTGTAGGTAGTTTACTGGATTAAGGGAATAGCTATCTTTACATATCTCTATTATATAAGACTTGTTGACAAGATTTGTTTATAAGATTTGTTGACAAACAAAAGAGTATTATTTTCAAAGATTTAGATATAATTTAAACAATAAATATTTTCAAACTTTTACAGACTAAAATCGTCGATGAAGTTATTTATGTACTGGTTTTAAGTTACTGGTTTTAATAAATACCCATACTTTATTAGTCGATTGACAGCTCATGTATTCAGACTATTATTGTTATTTTAATTTGTGAAAGTCTTCAAAACTTTTACAGAGATGTTTTTTGTTTGTATTTAATATAATTTATATTTATTTTAAATATTTAAGATCGAAATTTATAAGATACGTTTATTTGAATATTTTTTTATCAAAGGCATTCACACACCCGTTTGCGCTGTAACCGGCGCCCAGTATCTGGGTTCCAATGGCTGGTCGGATCTGCGGAATCCCACAGACACCGACTACCCATTTCGAATGTTCCGGGATGAGGGACGCAGCTTTCTCTTGTGGTTGGGAGAAGCTGATCTTCGCCAGAAAATGCAGGGTCGCCTGATTGTGGTGCATCTGGTGTGTCGCGATATGACGGTGGCAATGAACGCTAGTAGTCACGTGAAGGGCGAACCACTCATGCCTCCCAGAAATGTTCATTCGCCCTGTGTTGCCTTCCGGGTGAATGGCAGTCCCGTAAAATATGCCCACAGTAAGTCTATTAAATCCTAATCTTACTTCCAAAGGTGTAACTCATAACATCCCAAAACAGACGTTCCCGAGGTTTTCTTTCAACCAGCCAACTCCACAACTTTGGCCTCCACTTCGGATGGAATGACCATGAGAGAATATGTCGTTATTGGGATCTGCAGTCTGCTCTTGGGCCTCATCTATGTGGCCTCAGTGTTTCTATATCTTTACATGAAAAAGCGAAAGCGACACAATTCGCGGCATTCTCTAGATAACCTGACGAATGATATAAACTATCCCAAAAACGATCAAGTAACCTATGGAGCCCCCTTTAGCCGGGTCGGTAGTATATACTCATCCAATAGCTTGGGTATGGGTAATGGGAATGAGTCCAATACTCGCACCAGTATCGGCAGTCTCAAGGAGGATATGGGTATTGTGAAAAATAATCCCTTGCTGCAACATTTTCCTCAGCTGAGCGAAAGGGAGCACAATTCCGGTTTTGCCAGCGATATTTCCAACTCGAACTCTGAGTGCGAAATGGAGGAAAAAATCAAGGTGGGTTGATATAACAATTCTGAAAATATATGGGATCAATGTATCATTTTTTATAGACATCTGTGCTGGTGCATCCACAGCTTAGTAAATCACCAAAACCAGCGGGTGGTGCAGATAATGCGGCAATGGATGTGGATGACTTCCTGCAGGATAACGAGTGCCTGCCCGCTGAAAATGTCGCCGTAATTGATGAACTCATGACCGAGGAAAAGCTGGAGAATCTGCGTGCCATGGTCAGCGGAAATGTGCGCAAGAAGCTCTACTTCAATCCGGCTTATTTTGAACCTCATTTACTGGCGGTAAGCTATATTTTAATTATATTTAGAAACAATTCATTAACCAAAATTATGAATATATTTCTGGAAAATTAGCATATTTTCAAGATTTCATTTAAAAAATTTTAAACAATATTTGTAACTTTCATTCTTAATATTGAGAACATAATAAAACGAAATTATCAGGGTAATTTAAAAATATTTAATTTCCTTATAATAAAGCCCTGTAGTTATACCCGTTACTCGTAGAGTAAAAGGGTATACTAGATTCGTCGGAAAGTATGTAACAGGCAGAAGGAAGCGTTTCCGACCCCATAAAGTATATATATTCTTGATCAGGATCACTAGCCGAGTCGATCTAGCCATGTCCGTCTGTCCGTCTGTCCGTCTGTCTGTCCGGATGAACGCTGAGATCTCGGAAACTATGAGAGCTAGGCTATTGAGATTTGGCGTACAGATTCCTGAGCTTCTTACGCAGCGCAAGTTTGTTTCAGTAGACTGCCACGCCCACTCTAACGCCCACAAACCGCCCAAAACTGTAACTCCTACAGTTTTGATGCTAGATAGACAATTTTAACTGAAATGTATTGTTCTCAACAATACCTATCGATTGACCTAAAAAAAAGTTTGCCACGCCCACTAAAACGCCCACAAACCGCGAAAACCTGTGACGCCCACAATTTGCATGCTAGATAAGAAATTTTAACTGAAATGTATTGGTGTCGTCAATACCTATCGATTGATCCAAAAATAAATTTTCCACGCCCACTCTAACGCCCATAACGCTTAAATCTGTCTACCGCCGGTAGGTGGCGCATTTTAATCTCGCTTTGCTGCTTGCATATCTCCATTTCCCTTTGAGTAACGGGTATCTGATAGTCGAGGTATTCGACTATAGCGTTCTTCCTTGTTTTAATATCTATAACCTCTTTTCGTTTTCTTCCAGGAACCGCCTCAAGCTGCCATCGAGTTTCTGCAGAAGATTCGCGAGGTAATCGCCATTGCCAAGTACAAGATGGCCTCGAAGCGATATCAACCCTCTCTGAACATAATTCCCGAGGAGCTGCACCCGGATTCCAGTTCCAGTTCACCCACCATGTTCAACATTCCGTTGCAGCAAAGTTTGGCGACCAAGGGTATGGGCGACAAGCGGAACAGCATTGAGCAATGGCTGCAAAGTGTACCCAATTCCGATGCGACACCAACTCAAAAGACCCTCGACAGACCTGCTCCACCGACGACTGCAAAGAAGGCATCCGGATCGCCCAATAAGGGCTCCCTGAGAAAGGAGATAACTGCACCCAAGGAGAAACCACCGCCGCCTCCTCTGCAGAAATCTAAAACAGAAGAAGGTCATGGGAAGTCCAACTCGCCAGGACCGCCACCTGGTATGCAGTCCAGTCGTAGCCCCGGTAAAAGCAGTCCGGAACAGTCACCTACCCAACCGAAGACATCCGCGGGCGGCTCTTACGAGGGCTTCTCCGCCTTCTCCGTGGCTGCCAATGTCTATGGATTTGCAGAGACTGGTGGGGAAATCTACAACAATCCCAAGTTCATGCTGGCCGACTCACCAGCGGGCTCCTTACGCAGTGCCTCCAGTCGCTCCAAGTCGCTGAGGAAGCGCAGCGAGGTTCTGGAACAGTTCGCCGCCGCTAACTCGACGCCCACCTCGCTCACCTCCTTCGACCGGCAGCACTACAATATGTTGAGGAACATGAAGCCGGCTGAGGTCATATATGATTCCCTGAAACGGGAGTATACAGCGCATATCCCAACGCCCGATTATGATAGCACTATTGAGAAAAGGATCAAGGACATTTATAGCAGCACACAGAGCAGCATTCCATCGGTGCCCACTCCGGATTATAGCTCCCTGAGCCGTAAGTCCCTCAAGCAGTTCCAACCAGATTCACCGATTTACAGGAGAAAGTCACCACAATATCTGATTGTGGACTACGAGACGGATAGCCTGGAACGTCTTGAGCCCAATAAGCGCAAGAGCTCTCACTCCTCCAGTTCACCATCCTCCGATGTGAGTTCCCAGCTGAGTCCCAGTTTGAGCACAGCTCTGCCACTCGAGGAGGAGATGGAGATCAGTCACACTGTATACGATCGCCTGGACGGATTTCGTAAGGAGGGCGAGATGAAGAAGCGTCTGGCTGCGAAGCACCAGCATCCACATCCTGGGCAACAGCAACAGAGGCAAAAGGAGGCGGCGGCTCGCATCAAGTACGACACTCCCTTTCGGGGCAGCATGACCATCGAGGTGGAGCACGAACCCCCCTCCGATCTGGAGCGCACCGATAGCGATCAATTCGAGCCGGACACCTTGGATCGCAAGCCCAAGAAGCAGAGTTTTTGCGACATTTCCGCCTGGGATGGCCACAAGCCAATGGACTCGGATTTCAGCCAGATCAACTCCTTGCCCGACTTGAGTCGCCAGTTGAGTCCTGCTCCCAGTCAGGCCATCAAGCCGAGGACTGCTTCCTTCATCCTGCGATCCAGTAACTCATTTCGCAACTTGAGGGAGATCTACGAGTCACCGCTGATTGTCCAGGAGAATATCAAGTGCGAGAAGAAGGTGCCACAGACGCCGGAAGAAGAGGGTAGGATTCTAACCCTGGAGGCGAAGCACTCTCGTCGCCAGCGCCTCATGGAGACCTCACCCACCCACTCGGTGGTGGATGTGACAAAGGTGAACAAGACCACCATCACGATTTCATCACCCAAGCCGTCGGATATGCCTCCTCCTCCTGCCCGACCCAAGGCCAATCAGCATTACTGCCCACCACTGGTGCATGGTAAGCGACCACTGCCACCACCGCCTCCAAACTCATCGGAGCATTCGGGAGCCCAAGAGGAGGATGCCTACAGCCTGCACAGTGAAATCACAGAGGTCACTGGGATCTCGGAATTCGAGAACTCTTGCAACAACACCATGTCCAGTGCTATATCGGCGACCACTGAGGAGAGAACCCATACAAAAGGTTCCAAGACTGCCAAAGTCAGTGGTAATTCACCGGAAGAGGACTACGAGGGGATGTACAATAAGAAGATTAACAGCCTGCGCAACGACTACAGTCTGACCAAGTATCTCAATCGGCGCAAGAGTCAGCGGGAGGAGGCCTCGAAAGGTGGTCCAGAATCACCCAAGGACGTGACCACCGAGCCGGAGTTCAGCAGCAGCAATAAGAACCTCAAGGAGGTGGTGGATCTCGCCCAGTTCGATGCCTTGTCCATAAGCTCCCGTTCCAATCGGAGCAGTGGTCATCTTTCCGAGCGCACCAAGGAGATGTATCGAAATGCAGGAGTTCCGGTGGGCATTGCCTATCCCCAGCGGGCGGCCAGTAGTTCCGGAAGTGCTACTTCCGGTGGAAACGTACAAACCGTCTACCGCTGTGAGATCGAACAGGCCCAGATCACGGCTGGAATGCAGATTGCCATCGGACTGAAGGACCGTGCCAAGAAGGCCAAGGATCTGAAGAATGCGTGGCGAAAGTTTGTGACCATGGCGGCCAACAAGTTCAGTCCCAGCCAGAGTCCAGCGCCAACGTATGGCAGCAAAAATGCCGCCGGTTTCCTGGAGGACGACGGTATCGCCTCCATCATCGAGGATGCTGCTCAGTCGGCTGGAATGGGACAACCCGGAAGCCAGACGTATTACGAACAGCGTTTTGGGCAACTGGACAGCGGCTACATGAGCACCGATTCCACGGAGCTGTACAAGCGGAATGTCTACGATCGGTATAACTTTAAGATGATGTCCGGTCGGGGACAGATCATACGGGTGGATACCATCGAGGACAACGAGGAGGAGAGCGGTCCCAATGACAATCGTTTCGAGGACCTCGAACACATGGTCTCCCCGGGTCACAGTCGTCGATCGCCTGAGAACATGGCAGTGGTTCCAGGCGATCTCAGCGATGCGGATTCCGATAGGACTCTCACTCGTTCCCACTCCCAAACAAATTCCCAGGAGCGAAATGTGCGGGGTAGCACCACCACGATGTCGTCCTATTCCTCGGATGAAAATGGACGCGGACACAGCACCTGCTGTGGATCCTCGGAAACGGACGAGGAGACCAACGCGGAGGACATGTGGGAGTCCGGGGCGGAGAGCATAGAAACGCACTCCGTGCTCTACAAGATGATAAGGAAGAGTTAGAATAAGTATCGCCTAATGGAAAACTAGTTTTTAGGGATGTGCAATATCGAAAGCAGACGAAAGACTTACATTCTAAGACTAAGTAACGCAATATAGCAACAATCAGTGCAATAACTCGGAGATTCTTGCCAAACCACAAGGTGCAATTTTGATAGATCTAAGCTAGCTAGTAAATATTATTATGTAGAAGGAGGTAAACCCTTGGAAACTGCATCCAATACGCAAAGTGCAGGTACCAACAGAATATCGGAATAGAAACAAACCCAAGCCCTAAGAAGTCTAAGTGCAATCAATCATCATATTATATCGTGTAGTATCGTAACGGATGCGTATTGTGATAAACGTAAGCAGTCTTGGGCCGGAAATGTGCAATCTTAGTGTTAGTCCCAGTGTAAATGTATTAAAATTAAGTTATCGCAATAAAACTTCGACTTATGTTAGACTAAACAAAAAGTTCATTTTATGGGAAATGAAAAATTATAATTATACGTAAGTTGTTATTCTTATGAAGCCTACTTTTGGGTAATCACTCAAATGTTTCTTTCAGAAAACCATAGCTGTAAAAGGCATGGGTACTTATCAATATTCTTGGAAAGCGATAGTGAGTGAAAGCTACTGAAAATCAATAATTGGGAATGAGAAAAGCGAGATACCTAATAATAGGTTTATCAACTGATTTGAACAACTTGCAAGGTCATGCCTTGAAAAGAGAAACCGTGCGTAAGGAAAAAGCCAGAACGAATGTTAACAAAGATTTATGATCATTGTCCATGTCTGTTGCTTGATTGCGGCAACTATCGTTAGATTACCGAGTAATGGTCAATCCAACCGCAATCTACAGCCGGTAGATAAGGCTATTCTATAAATCTACGCAAAGCGCTACTTTACGGTTCAGTTGGTCGAAAATGTCACGGATATTGGTTGCGTTCCTGTTGCTCGGAGTGAGCTGCTCCCTGGCAGATCCTATTCCCCGGAACGAAGAGGCTACAATCCCTCGGCTCGATGGACGCATTGTCGGTGGACAGGACACGAATATCACCCATTATCCGCATCAGATCTCTATGAGATACAGGGGAAATCACCGATGCGGTGGCTCTCTTGTCACACCAAACAAAATCATCAGTGCGGCCCATTGTGTGAACACCCTGGATGGTCCGGCAAATCTTACCATTGTGGCTGGTTCCTCGAATATCTGGTATCCCACGGGTCCCCAGCAGGAGCTGGCTGTACGTGAGTTCATCATTCATCCGAAGTATCGAACCCTGAACAACGATTACGATGCGGCCATATTGATTTTGGATGGAGAGTTTGAGTTCAACGATGCCGTACAACCCATTGCCTTGGCCAAGGAGCGTCCGGATCACGATACACCCGTAACGGTGACCGGTTGGGGAACCACCAGCGAAGGTGGCACCATCTCCGACGTCCTGCAGGAGGTCAGCGTGAATGTGGTGGAGAATACGCAGTGCAAGAGCGCCTACTCCATCATGCTGACCAGTCGTATGCTCTGCGCCGGAGTCACCGGCGGCGGAAAGGATGCCTGCCAGGGCGATTCCGGTGGTCCGCTGGTCTACAAGAACGAACTGCTGGGCATTGTCTCCTGGGGAACGGGCTGTGCTCGGGAGAGGTACCCCGGAGTATATTGTTCCGTTCCGGATGTTCGCGAATGGCTGGAGGAGACGATTGAGGCCAACAAGGATGTGGGCAAAATTGACTTCCTGTAAATGTCTAACATCCTCTGGTTTCACATAACACCGAACTTTTAACACTTTTAATAGCTCCAAAATTACATAAGGAGATTACCAATACAGTCGACAACATAGTATATCGTTTGTTTGATTACGGTTTTTTATTGAATTAGGTAGCTCTATTCGGGCGTTAGCCACTTGAAGATAGCGTATCGATTGCCGCGAAAATGCCAATGTTTATTGCGCTCCAGCAGCTGCTATGGTCTCCTCGATCCAATCCACAAAACTGGCCACGTAGCAGTAGACGGTGGGGTAGTTGGGTCGGGCGCATCCGCGTCCCCAGGACACCAGACCCACCAGCTGGCCATCGATGACTAGGGGTCCACCGGTGTCTCCTTGGCAGGCGTCACTGCCGCCCTGGGTCACAAAACCCGCACAGATCATCCTTTCGGTGACCTCACCCACGCCATAGATCTGGATGCACTGCTCTGAGCTTACGACAGGAACTTCCGTCTGCTCCAGGTTGTAGCTGGAGGGACCCCACTCCTCCCGATAGCCCCATCCGGCCACGGTAGCCAAACGACCCACTGCCGGACGCTCCGGACGGATGGCAATTGAGCTGATTCCAAAGTGCGTGAGGTTCAAGGGAGTGTCCAGCAGGAGGACGCCGATATCATTGTCCACTGTGATAGGATCGTAGTTCGGATGATGGGTCCAGTTGGCAACGGGGTAAACAAATCCATCGGATCCATTGCGGGTATTTGCTCCAGCCACAGCCAAGAGCTTAGTGCCCTCGGGCAAGTCAACAATGCACTGGGCACTGGTGAGCAATGCCTGCTCCGAGATGATGACTCCGGCACACTCGTGCTTGTAGCTTGACTCCTCATCCCGGCGATACCGAATGGAGACCAGATACGGATGACGGGCTATGTCCACCGTAGTGCCATTGATAATCCTGCCCTCCGGTTGGGTCAGTCCATTAATGGATAAAATGGATGAGAACCCAATGGCCAGCAGCAGTAGCGGAATGCACATGGTCCTGATCCCTTCCGACGATTTGCACGAGCGTGAGGTTCCTATCGAACTGGTTAAGAATTGCCAATTTTCACCCTGCTGGGGCGGCATTCAATGACCATATCGATTAACTTAATGGTTGGTGCTCGAGATAACTTGTGATAGCGATGTGAACACAGGGTCCACCAAGATAGTGTCGTTCCAGAGGCGATTGCCACTTTTTTGTGGACTACTTTGCGTTAATCTCTAAGTATCCAAGGTTTTAGATTTCTCTTAAGCTCTTTACTCTTTTTAATAAGAAAAACTTTTTAAGAGTGACGGATTCCTTTAAGATTCATATTTAATGCATAATAGTTTAATAAACCAATCCATTTTGACAATTATCAGGACTCCAAATATTTACAACACTTTAAATACCATGTACAACAAAGAATTCCCCAGTTGTTAGATTTTGCCTGAAATTTGGTTCACTCTAAAAATCAATCACCCAACTCTTTGTAATATAAAAAGACATTGCATACTTTTGGGGCCTTCCACAATGATTGGGCTTCGATTTATTGGAAGTTACTTAATCTCAATCCACCTGGCCAAGGTTGATCTAATCAATGTATAAGACGATTACGTCTGGTAAAAAGTAATAATAAGCTGTTAGATTTGGAAAATCCCAAAGCACGTGGCTGGGAAGGCCAGTTTATTTACAAAATTGGGAGTGTGATATAATTCTATTGCAGCTCTGCCCTAATGGCATCGATCCAGGACCTCAGGGTAGCCACATTGGCATATACGCCGGGATGGGTGGCCAGGGCGCAGCTGTTGCCCCAGGACACGACGCCATAGAGCTCATCCCGCACCACCAAGGGTCCTCCGGAATCTCCCTGGCAGGCATCCGCACCACCGACTCCCCGCTTTCCGGCGCACAGCATGACTGGAGTGATGTGGTAAGTCTCATCGATAAAGTCCTCGTAGTCCTGATCGCACACTTCGTTGCTCACGATCGGCACATCGACGGCGAGGAGAAGATTCGAGGAGTAGCCACCGGGTGAAGTGGTTCCCCAGCCGCTAATCTTGCTGATCGTTCCCTCTAGCGGTGGTTCCGAGGCCAACTTGATGGCCTTGATGGTGAAGTTATTGAGGGGTAGTGGAGGATCCACAACGAGAATGGCAATATCGTTGTTGTAGGCCGCTCCTGAGTAATACTCCTGGTGCATATAGATAGCCTTAACGTTGGTAATGACGCCATCGGAACCAGTTTGATAGTTTGTCCCGGCAATCACCTTAAACTGACTTGCCACCGTACCGATGACACAGTGCGCCGCCGTCATGATCTCAGTTGCGCTCATAATGGAACCACCGCAGCGATGACGGTAGGCGTTCTCCGGCGTGGAAATGGCCTTGTAGCGCAGGGAAATCTGGTACGGAACCTGGGCAATGTCCGTCACATAGCCACCCACAATGCGACCGTCGGGAACGCTCTTCTCGTCCTGATCCTCCTGGAGGGGAAGACCCTGCGTCAGGGCCACCAGGCAGACAAGAAGGGCCAAAAGGCAAACCAACCAAGAGCGCGACATGTTTGCAAAGCCACGCAGAATCGAGAACTGAAGGAACTAACTTCTTGGCCAGCGACTGGACGGCTTATCTAACGGTGTACCCGACTATATAGACCATAAATTTTACTCTGGATATGCCCGGTCATTCGAAACTACGAGCGATTAGACTTTATGGTCAACTACTATAACATTAAGCAACATGAGTGGGGTTGGTTTTTCGGTTTTAAAATATTATATTAATTTATTTGTGGTGGGTACTAATATTCGTTAGAGCCTATATGCAAGCATATGTTTTTTAACCAACAACTATATTGCAATTTATCCCATTTATTCAAGCATATTCAAGCACAATTTCTTAATGCTTTTACAGCTTGGATTTTTAAAAATGCTATTACTTAGATTTTGGTATATTTCAAAGATTTTTTAATAAAACATGATTTTGAAAAGCAAAGAACACTACAAAGAAATATATTTTTTAGAAACTTGAAGTTTGGACTTGTTGGTCATTATTCACATAACAGAGTTTATAACCGAATGTTTATACGATTCGATAACTGCAGTTTATATGATATTATATAAGATCGCAACGCAAAACCATAATAAAGGTAGTCCTTACAGAGAAATATAAAAAAAGAAAACATTTTCAGTACAGTAATATATTGCAAATTGCTTTTATTTAATATTATAACATTAAATTTATGTTGCATAAGCAGCTCGCTGTTCGGCTATCCAGTCCTTAAAGTAAGCCACATTAGCATAGACTCCGGGATAGTTGGCACGGGCACATCCCTCTCCCCAGGAAACAATGCCAGCTAGTTTGTTGGCCACAACGAGTGGTCCTCCGGAATCTCCCTGACAGGCATCCTTGCCACCCTCCTGAATACCGGCACATAGCATTCCATCACTGATGGGTCGCCAGTAGTAGGCCTCCTGGCACTTTGCGGAATCAACTACGGGAACATTAACCTGCTGAAGCTGATTGGAGGACAGGCCATTCTCTTTGGTGTATCCCCAACCGCTAATGGTGGCCTGGGCACCCACAGCAGGTTGAGTCGTGGCAATTTCAATGGCTTCCATGGTGTCATAGGTGGCCAAAGGCAGAGGAGGATCGACGATCACGAGGGCAATGTCATTATCCGTGATTGAGGCGTTGTAGAGCTTGTGGGGAATCAATTTCGTAACTCGCACCACCACACCATTCATGCCACCAAGGCTAGCATCTCCGGCCACCACCAGGAAGTTTTCCGCCACGCGATTGTAGACACAATGTGCTGCGGTTGCTATGGTCACGTTATCCAGGATGCAGCCACCACAAGTCTGGGCATAGGAACTACTCGAAGAACTGCGCCTGCGCAGCTGCACCACATATTTGGTATAGTAACTGGAGGTGTCTGCGCCGCCAACAATCCTACCATCTAGTTGGGCCACCACGGCAGAAATCCCCAGCACGAGCAGTACCGCAAAAATCCGTAATATAACTTTATTCATTTCGTTGATTGACGTGTGACTAAATCGACACTTTTTGCTTTTTCAAACACAGCGAGAAGCTTTAGCCATATCGCGAACTGGTCAATAAATTGCTTTCGGTCTAACACCGATAAGATGGCCATCGGAGAGCAGTAGCGTTTCTATGGCATTCGTTCTGTCGTAAGCTTAAAAAAAACCCCAGCTGACTAATGATGACATTGTCCCGATCCGATAGCCAATCAAATAGCCTTATTCGAGTATAATCGGATCAATCCAACATTTGATTGCTACTTAAAAAAGTATTCAAAAAGTAAAGCCTATATAAAATGTACAGCTTTTCTATAGATAGACGAAATTATGTGTGTGCATAACTTTTAAGTTATAGAATGATTAACTTTGTAAAGTTCTAAAGATTCAGAAACTATGCAAAATGTATCCAAATTTTCAAAGAAAACATGCCAGATATGTGTTAGGAAAACATAGCAATATCAGCCATAACAATGATATTAGTAATAACGAAATATTGGTGAGCTTTTTGAATATCTGTAAAATCCCCGAAAGTATGCTTATAGTTTATTAGAAATATCTACACGTACTCCGTGGACGCGCAGGTCTTCCAGTCCACAATGCTGACGTACACCTCCTGGAGTGTCTTGGGAAGGGTCATGCACCAGAAGTAGCACTTGGAACCCCAGCCAGTGACCACAGCCGTTGTTCCAGTGGGCGGAGTTTCCTTGGCCAACTAGATGTTACGAATGTCTTCGGTTTCCTCGACTTAAGTATGCCAACGTCGTACTCCATGGTCTTAGAACTGTAATCCTCATCGTAGAGTAGATCCCGGACAGCCACCAGTATTCCACCTTCATTGTATAGCGTGGATCCCAGACGCACGAACACCTTGGAGGCCTTTCTTCCTTGCAGACAATGGGCGGCTGTTACTATGGTGTCTGCATTGATAATACTGCCACCGCAAAAGTGGGAGCCGCTCTTGGTCTGCAACGAAACCTGGTAGGGATGAGCTCGGATAGTAGTATCCTCGCCGCCCACAATGCGACCCTCACGCTCGAAGGGATCGGCATTGGACACGCCAACAGTACCGGCGAAGGCGGAGCCTACAGCCAGGCAAACTAAAAGTGCCACTAATCTCTGCATTCTGGGAAAACACTGAACCATCTTGGAGATACGGCCAACATTTATAACCTTCGATCATGGGCGATTGTCGAGTGGGCAACTGACACTATCGGTCGATCTTTTGATCCGAGGAATTAGCATACCCGGCACTGGAATACGCTTATCAGCCGGGTCTTCCTATCAATCAAAGAAAGCCCTTGAAATGTGGAGCACCAGTCAAAACTCGGAAGTCGGCACTTCAACGGGGGTTATTAGATATAGAATCGGCTCGTTGTCAAGTTTTGACCTTGTCTAGGTGAGCTTTGAAGAAGACACACCTTTATTATATCCAACTTTACTATTTAACGACCAAGAGATGGCACCAATAAGACTTTGCCATTTCGATAAGTGTTATGATCCTAAAACTATATGTCTTAATTGGTATTTGAGTTTTAGCAAAATCGCATTGTTCATACTTTACAGGTTCGGAAGTGATTCTTTCTCATATGGCAATAAAAGTTAGATATAGAATGACATTTTGAGGTACACAATGTCTAAATGTTCGGATGAGTGTTACGCAAGGCACTCCTTTACTTAAATGAGGTTAACTGGAAATTGCACATTATATAATATATTTTTATTACAGCTCCAAATCAGGAAAGGTACTTCTTATGACCCGGAATTCCCAAAAGTAGGTTATATCACCCGTGAATAATTTTTAATGGCTCATTACCAAAGCAATGTCTTGCTGGAAATACCCCTCAAACATAGGGGTGGCTATATGAACGAAATGGCGAACATCAACCGCAAGTTTCCACAAATTGTAGGCACTTAAAAAAATAAATTGATAACGAAACTTTTCTATAAACAACGTTATCATCCAGAAATTAAAAGATTACAAATTGCAAATTGATTTGCAATAGAAGCATTTCATTTCAAAATATTATGGAAAGAACAGCGGTCAATTCATGAATTTTTATATTTACTTGTCATGGTTCAGTAAAGCGTTCGACTTCCAGTTTTCAAATATGTGCAATCTTATCAATCCCCTTATTTTGCGTCTAATTAATCTTGCCGCACCTGTCCAGACCATCACTCAACTTATCAATGGAAAATGGAGTGGAACTAAAGCCACGCGATGCACTCCAAGCTGATTAGATACATCGGTCCTAGCAAATGTTTACCCTGAGCTACTTGAGACCATTGAATTCGGGGGAAATCGCAAAAGGCTCGTCGAGTTAACAAATGTGAATACCCGTGAACTTTACAAAAGATAAGACCTGTGACGTGAGCAACCTCAAGAACCATTTCTTTATTATCTATTCAATAATACGGAAGATGTAATAAGGTTTGCCTTTGATAATATAGTCAAGATATTCTAGCCTTCCCATGTACAATTTTTCGCAATTTGGAAATGGATTTACAACTTCTGCAATGTCTTGTCAATAATCGCTTAATCGAAAAAAATCTACGATAAGAAAAATATCTAAACATGTTGGTCATGAAATGTTTCTCTTGAAAGGTTGTGAAGAAAGTTTCGATTTATAGGCTTTAAGTTTCAGTGTACTGTTTCAGTTTCCTGTATATAAGATCTATCGGTTATTCGTTAAGTTTGAATGTCTTTGTAGTATTGCTCTCTTTAATCACTGCTTCTAGGTTGCTGGATACAACTAGGTAGAGTTGTACTTTTACTTTTTTTTAGGACCCACATTCTAACATATATATGTCTTAAGAACCAGACAATGCCCACCAACTATAAAGATATTATGTTCTGAATTGCAACGTTTTATTGAAGGACTTTGTTACATCCAACCTAAGGGTTATCCGCTTAAATGCTGTTGGCAGTGCTGATCACCCAGGAGCGGAGCACAGCAACATCGGCATAGACACCGGGGTAGTTGGAGTAGGCGCAACCGTATCCCCAGGAGACGACACCAACGAGGACTCCACCGGAGACCAGAGGGCCGCCGGAGTCACCCTGGCAGGCATCCTTGCCGCTGGCAGCAGCGCAGATCATGGTGTTCCTGATCTGGCTACCATATCCGTAGGTGGAGGAAGAGCACTTCGATTGGCTGACGATGTTCACGTTCACGTACTGCAGCTGGGAGGGAATGGAGCTGGATCCGGAGGACAGGGTGCCCCATCCGGAGACGGCGGCGCTGGCTCCGTTGGCCGGGTTGTAGGTGGCCAGGCCGATGGCCTTGACGTTGGAGCTGAAGCTCAGGGAGGAGCTCAGACGGATGACGGCGATGTCGTTGACCATGGTGTTGGCGTTGTAACCCTCGTGGTTCCTGAAGGAGGCAACCTTGGCGACGACGCCGCCGGAGCTCCAGTAGGTGGAGCCAGCGCGGACCTGCAGGACGGAAGCGGACACGGATTGCAGACAGTGGGCGGCGGTCACGATGATGTTGCTGGAGTAGATGGATCCACCGCAGGAGTGGCTGCCACTGCGCTGCAGGGAGATCTGCCAGGGGAAGCTGCTGATGGTGGTGGCCGAGCCGCCGACAATGCGACCGTCCAACTGGGGCAGGAGACCCTCGGGAACGGTGCCTCCCAGGGCGCAGACCACGGCGGACAACAGGATCACGATCTTCAGCATGGTGAGCGTTGCTAGCAAGTGCTTGGTTACATGCCGCCGAACCAACCTTATATATACTGCCCCTGCTGACGGGTCTTATCTGACTTCATGTCTAAGGGCTTACACATGCGACGCCATTTGGCCAAAAGCGAATTAGAGATACCAAAGCTGTTTCAATTGCGATTTATTTCAAGTGTTTGTGTGACTTTACACCTCCTCGGCGGTCCTCTCGATCCACTCATGGAAGTGGGCAACATCGGCGTAGACACCAGGGTACCTTACATCACCGCAGCCGTAGCCCCAGGAGACGACACCCACGAGACGATCTCCGGACACCAGTGGGCCACCGGAGTCACCCTGGCAGGCGTCCTTGTGTGGGGAGTAGGCGCAGATCATGGTGTCCTTAATCTTCCTGCCGTAGCCAAACTCGCTAGAGCGACAGCGCGACACATCGACGATCTCCAGGTCGACGGCCAGCAGATGGTCGGGAATGGTGGAGCCGCCGGACTCGGTGGTGCCCCATCCGGAAACGACGGCAGTGGCGCCCTCACGAGGATTGGAGTCAGCGATGCGGATCTCGCGGATGCTGGAGCGGAAGCTCAGGTCGGACTCGATGCGGATGATGGCAATGTCGTTGACCATGGTGCGAGAGTTGTAGCCCTCGTGGTTGCGGAAGGCGCGGACGGAGTGGACACTGCCGCCGGAGCGCCAGTAGGTGCTGCCCACGCGAATCTTCAGATCCTTGGCCTCGATCGACTGCAGACAGTGGGCAGCGGTGATGACGATGTCGTGGGAGTAGATGGATCCACCGCAGAAGTGGGAGCCGGAGCGCTGCAGGGACACCTGGTAGGGATGGGCATCGATGCTGGTCTCATAGCCACCGACGATGCGTCCATCCAACTGGGGCAGCAGGCCATCGGGAATGGTGCCTGCCAAGGCGCAGGCCAGAACGGAGAGGAGTACCGCGAGTCTCAACATTTTAATCGGTTGTATGCTGATCCCCGGATCAAGACCCCTTATATATAATCCCCATAGCAAAGATTTAAATTTGATTGACAGCGATAGCTCTAGCATTATTGTTGCGTCACTTTTTCCACCGATATGACCAGCAAATACCGCGAAGTAATCAGCTTATCAGCCAGAGGCCACTCCACCTCGTTATCCACTTGGGCCACGAGGGGTCTCACTCGTCCATTGATTAAACGCCCTTCTTGACAGCGACCCCTATAAAAGCACACTTTCCGACTCAAAGGGTACTCATTCGATCTGCACCATGCTGAAGTTCCTGATCCTGTTGTCCGCCGTGGCCTGCGCCCTTGGTGGCACCATTCCCGAGGGTCTCCTGCCCCAGTTGGACGGTCGCATTGTCGGCGGTTCGGCCACCAGCATCAGCAGCTTCCCCTGGCAGATCTCCCTGCAGCGCAGTGGTAGCCACTCCTGCGGTGGATCCGTCTACTCGTCCAACGTGATCGTCACCGCCGCCCACTGCCTGCAGTCCGTGTCCGCCTCCTCCCTGCAGATCCGCGCTGGATCCAGCTACTGGAGCTCCGGGGGAGTCGTCGCCAAGGTATCCTACTTCAGGAACCACGAAGGATACAACGCCAACACCATGGTCAACGACATCGCCATCATCAAGCTGAGCAGCTCCCTGAGCTTCAGCTCCACCATAAAGGCCATCGGTCTGGCTAGCTCCAACCCCGCCAACGGCGCTGCTGCCTCCGTCTCCGGCTGGGGCACCCAGTCCTCCGGATCCAGCTCCATTCCCTCCCAGCTGCAGTACGTCAACGTGAACATCGTCAGCCAGAGCAGGTGCGCATCCTCCAGCTACAGCTACGGTAGCCAGATCAAGAGCTCCATGATCTGCGCTGCTGCCAGCGGCAAGGATTCCTGCCAGGGTGACTCCGGCGGCCCTCTGGTCTCCGGTGGAGTCCTTGTTGGTGTCGTCTCCTGGGGATACGGATGCGCTGCCAGTAACTACCCCGGTGTCTATGCCGATGTTGCTGCTCTCCGCTCCTGGGTGATCAACAATGCCTAAGCATTTTGCCAATAAAATAATATGCGAACATAAACCGAGGTCCTTTATTTCTATACAAGAGATCATTCTTGAAAGCCTTAAATTGCATTTTTCCAGTCTAAACTCTTTAATTTTATTGGGGTCAGTGTAAAACATTCTAGTTTTGGCTAAGAATGTCTTTGTTAGGTTATAATTTTTTTTGCTGATACACAGTTTTTGATGTCTTTTGGGGCTTACTATAAAGACAGCGTAACTATAAGTCAGATACCAGTTGTATTACTCGTAGAGTTAAACTGTAGATTGTATGGGTTGAATAGATTATGCATGCGAAACACCTATTAGGGCTAGTTTCTCAAGGCCCAGCTAACAATTCACGGGCAGGTAAAGTCCCCGTTAAAAAACGTTGTTGGTCAATAAGAGAGCTTACTCAAACAGTGATTCCCATTCCCT